AGTTCTGGCACTGGCGTACTGTCAACACACCTTCTCCATACACATCAGTCAATTTCTTTCTGGCTTGAACAGCATTTTTACCCTTTCTGTAGTAAAACAGTAAGATATGGCGAAAATGCTGCTTATCGCTCTCCATATTTAAAAGAGCAGGAACCAAAAACTACTGCGTAGAATTAATTGGAATTTTTTACACACAAGCCTTGCTATAAGAGCTCTCAAAGCATATAAAAATTATACGGCTTAAATGTGAAGTTGGGTGCAAAAGAATACAATTAAATCCTCTGTCGGGAAAAAACGAAATTACTTTCCGAACAACCCTATAGATTAGAGCGGACCCTGACCTTTTGCATACCTAAGCAACCTCTAACCGCTGCACCGCTTACTATTATTCAGTTATCTCTTTTCACCTTGTCGGTACTACCCATGAAGTACTTCTTAACTTAAGGGCGTGTTCAAAATGCAGCAAATGATTAATTCCCAAGTGGAAACAAGGAGGAAAATACATTCTCAAACATAATTTATTGCAGACTTTTCCAATTTTGATCGTCCCAACTATACCCTTCAATTTGACCATTCAACGTAGTATTATGGGATGAAAATAAATACTTTTGAATCTCTATTATTTCTAAGAAATTTGCCTTTCTACTATTCAGAATATGAACAATGGAAACATTATTCTTATTGATAATAGAGTTATCTTTTATACAATTTTTACAATTTTTCTATTAACTGCCCGAGATAAAAATGTTCAGTTTCTCAGAGTCTCTGAAAGCGAGACTCGAGTGTCCGTCTCTCATCGACTCTCTCTGGGGTCGCTGAGAGAAACTGTCAAAAAAACTGCTTAGCGTTTCCGAACGAGAGACTCGAGTCGCTCATAGAGAGATCCTCATTTTGTATCCAATTTGTGAACAAGAGACTCGAATCTCTGTACGAGAGACTCCAATCTTTCAATAAATGGTTTCTCGAAAATTCAAAAAGTTCAAAGTTCAACATGTTGGAGAGATCCCAGTCTTTCTGCGAGAGACTCGAGTCTCTCAATTTTTCAGTTTTCTTCATTCAGTCTCTCTGTAAGAGACTCGAATCTCTGAATTAACAATTTTATCGTTCGAGTCTCTCATACAGAGACTGTGAGAGATCCATAAAAACACCTAGGCAATAACTGAGGGACTGTGAAAGACTGAGAGACGCTCTTAGAGACGCTAAAAGACTCTGAGAGACTGGAGAAAAACTGAAAATGTTTGTCTACGGTAAGATACATTTTTGGTGTTCGGGCTTATAATATCGGAATTTCGTCTCGTTTATCCATGTAGGGCTAATAATGTGATGTTTTAGTTTTGCAGTAGGTACAGTAGTTTTAAATTGTGATTATCATATGATTCACATTTATATATCGCGGTATGGAATCCATAGATAAATATAAAAGCAGTATTCATTTTCTTCTCCATTATTTCGTCCCTTTTTGTTATTTATTTATTTTATACGCTGCTATGGATAAGACGAAATTCAATTCGGTCGCAATACAAGATATCTAACAAGCAATTTGTTTCGTTGCAGGGGTTTGTTATTTTCCCGAACGATGGGAGGGAGAGTGGTTTCAGTCTGGCGTTCGGCAATCCATTGTTATTGATGGACCTCGGCTAAGCAGCAAAGGTCGATGCCTAGACTCTGATGGAGATAAGTTCCTAGTTGTAGATGAGTGAGTATATTTACACATTCTTTTATAAAATTTAGATGCTCTTAGTAACTGTAAAATCCAATTAAAAATTGGATTTCTAACTGCGAAGATTCGTTTATCCATAGGAACCAGGAACAGTCACCTCGCTCTTCATCAGGAGCTTCTTCGGTTTAGTCAATAATTTGTCAAGACTGCTCATGAAGCGCTGATGANCGTCTTCGATGTATAGATTAAAAAGTAGCGGTGACAGTGTGCATCCCTGTCTGACTCCCTTCCTAATATTTACTTCTCTACGTTGCAGCTCCATCTCTATAACTGCCCGTTGCTCTTTATACGAACTAGGTATCACTCTGTAACTCATCCCTACATTTTTATGTTTAATTAACATCTGATCCCATTTAACATTCTCAAAAGCTTTTCCTAAGTCTACAAGTCCTATGTATTCACTCTTTCCTTTTTTTGTCGTATTCTCTATTATTACCTCAATTTAACTATTGTAAAATTAATCACCTGCGAAACATGATTATTTAAAATGAGGTTGTTCAGTATGCATTGTAGTATTGTATTGATTTTTAAAAAATTTGTGAACATGGTCCATCACTCGTGCTATGAATGTCAAATGAACAATGTACTTTTTAAATTAAATGCTTTCTGCTATTCAGTTTTCAATAAACTTCATTAAAATTCATAGCCAATCTAAACGAAATCAAGTGCGTTAGCATAACAATATAAAGGCATTATTAGGTTGATTTTTATCGACATTTTGAAACGTACGTATATAATAAAGGTATTATTAGGTCGGTCGGGCTGTATGTACCTATTCGCTTCAAATTGGATTAAAACAAATTCAGTTTAAATTTTCTGCAGCATGTAATGCCTATCATGTAACAAAGTCCACAGACGTATATATCAAGCAAGACTATATGTAAGGTTTCAAGATAAAAGAATCGTATATGATATCTTCCTTTACTTCGAAACAATATAAACAAGCTAAAATAAGCGCCAGGTTTTACTAAATGTCTTATCAAAACTCGTTCAAATTAATTTTATTGGCTCGAAATGAATAATTATAGGGTTAATTAGTACCAGTGTTTAAAGAAGAAACGAGAAAATTATTGTAGGTGTTGTACAGCTGTATTTTTTAATCAAGCGATTATAACGGTTACTTAATTTCGTCAAATTTTTAAATACTAAGCGTTTAAACTCATCAAAACTTCTTCGACAGCTTTTCCTTTATTGCTTTAGAATCTCATATTTAGAGTAATTCTTTGTTGCTTTAAAAGGCATATATTAAAAAAAAAAACATTAAGTACTGGTTGAAATCGTCGTGGAAGGAGGTCGCATAGGTATTTGAATAGGTTGCATGAGTATTTCAACTAACATGAAATTATGGTCTACCGGTTACCATGACCTACATCTGTGAAGCAGGTAGACCTATCACAACAAAGATGAAACAACATGAGAGTTTTGTACGTCTGAAATAACACAACAAATCAACTTTGGCAGAACGTGTTCTGGACACAGGACACGAAGTCCAATTCGATCAGACAAAGATGTTAGGAAGAGACAGCCACAGTTTCCTCAAGATTATCAAGGAAGCACTTGAGATCCACCCAAACAATCTCAACAGGGAAGATGGGTACTACCTCGATACAACTTGGAGAAGAATTAAAGCATAATGTATAATGACTCATGCGCAACCAACTGCAATATTTAAGCCACTAAGAATGCCGCAAACGGATAATTTATACGGGTGGGCTCGGTGGAAAAAAAAGATCAGAAGCATTCGAAATTTGCTCTTACAGGGTAATGATGAAAATACCGTGGATGGAAAAAGGTTAGAAGCGAAGAAAGAGTGGGAACAAAGGGCGCTATAGAAGTCAATAAGTAGTAGGCGAGATAGGTCGGTAGGTCACCTTCTAAGGCATGAAGGACTAGTACTATACTTTGTTTAGTTTTTGTAGCGATGTGACCTTCAGTTTGACCGGCGCAAAGTAGAAAAGAACAACACTAGGCTAGAAAAGATAGGAGACAACTCTCGGTCAAACTCTTAACCAGTGAGGAGCGTATAATCCGTACAGTACTGTTCGGAAAAGTTGACCATTTTATCCACTACAATTGCATTGCTCAAATGTGCTGTTATTGGTACCATTTACCACTGAAAATATCAACAAGACGTTTATTTATATTTGAAGACATATTAAAGGCTTTAACGCTTGTTTTCGACTCGCACTACTATTCATGATTGAACAAAAGTTTTGGCAGGTACTGTATGAAAAAGTATGTTTAATGAACAAGAGTCGAGAGTATAATGAGCTTTTTTCTCCCTACCTACGATTTTGCCAGCGCGCATCCAAGACATTGGAAAGGGCACATCGCTAGAGAAAGTAAATGAAGTATA